ACACTTACCAATGACCACCCCCAATAGTACCATCTCTGAACCATGTAAGCACCTCAGAATAGCCAAAGCTTTTATGGTTTGGTAGATAGCAGTATGGCGAAAGCGTCGTTTTTGGGTGTGGTCAGTTTCGGATGTTTCATCCCGGATTGGGGTTCGGGCAGCGTTACCATGTTGACCGTCATGGTCAACTTGCCCTAAAACAGTTGAGATTATCTGTCCTAAATGAAATGCATACAAACTCATATACAGGTCCTAGACTATATGTAACTAACCTAAACCCTACCCCTACTTTAATTAACCCCTAACCGCAACTCTAACCCTAACCGAATTAATAAAAAAAACGACTTTAGAAAATCGATAGGGCGGTTTGCTGGATGGAAAAAAGTGCTAATTGTGTAAGATTGCTAATTTTAGAGATGACGGTGCATGAAATAATAATTTTCTTGTTATGATTTTGTAGAAAGAGATTTACTTGAGTTGTTGGCTGGTCATGAGCCTGTTCAGGATGGATATGATAATGAAAGAGGTGATAGGGTAGAAAGTGATGACAAGTTAAGTGATGAGGAGGAAGAAATCAACCAGGCTGTACCATTCAAGTGCATCTGTGGGAAAAGGCATACATCACTCTTCATGAACAAGATAAACCAGTGAATGTAAGAATACGGCCAGAGCCGTTGAATCCAAGGGACCCAAGTGCAATAGCAATTGATCTAGACTATGGAACTGGATGGCCCCATGTTGGTTATATATTGCTTCTGAACTATGCACTGTATCCGCACCCATTAATTGCTGCAAGAGATGTCGTGGATGTCTAATATGTTCAGCATATCACGTATAGGATTGACTTTTTTAAAATAGGATTTTATCCAAAACATTTTGCAGAGGCATGGTTAGTGCATAGGAGACTCAAGTGGTAGGAAAAGCATGAGTGTATATTGACAGATGGTTTTTTTTAATATAAATAATAGCAACTAAGTTTAGCAAGTTTTTGAAGTGCATTTATTTTAATTTGGCTAACTTTTTTAGATTTTTTCCAGCATTTTTTAAACAAACCATGGGTTATAAATGATAACTTTCTATATCTAATTAAAACAATCTGTCATGTACACTCATGCAAAATAAGTACATAACTGTAAAAATGTGCTTTAGTAAGTAAATGAGTAATTTATCCATGCACTTGACCTCTTGACCTTCTTTGTTTGTAATTTTTTCAGATTAAAATTAATGCAACAATAAAACAAGAAAATGTCTATTTATATAATTGCACAGGTCAATTCCTGGAGTAACCATCCCCCGGGGCACCCCTGGGAATTTGCCTAATAGACAGTCCACAGGGGTCGGGAATTTACCTGTCATATACGTGCACAGGGGCCGGGTACGTGTACAGGGGCCGGGTATTGGGCCCGGGGATTTGACAAATGGTTTCACTTTTGCAAAACTTATTACCTGTGCCATGTGAATAAAGTTTTATAATATTCCATAGCAGCTTAATAGTATAATCTATATGCATTCATCGTCCCCGGGGTGGGGCATTTTCCACTCTCAGCTTGCCCAAGGGCCGTGCATTAGTCTCCTACCCCTAGTTGTGTCCCGGCACACTTCTTTTATTAACTGTGCACTATCGTAACCAGTCAAATCAAATGCCCAGGTGTGTTTCCGGGGGGGGGGGATGATGGTTACTCCTGGAATTGACTCGTGCATAATATTTATTAAATTTCAATAAATTGACCACAATACATTTTGATTGTCTTAAAACAAGTGGAGCTCTCTGCTGGTTTGAAATGGGCTGTTATAACACTGAGTTGTCCATGATGAGGATTCCGTAGCTCGATTTGCAACAAAAACCCCAGGATCAGGCGATCAGCTCGTATGGGAATATGTACACGATCCAGTCGCGACGGCCAAAGACAGAAAAAACTTTGAAAATCGCACAGATATAAATTCTACAAAAATAGTGAAACAAATCCTAAGTCTTCTAAATAATATTTTAACACTTTAACAAAAATTCATTGAAAATATAATCTTTGATGGCGCAAATTCTTTCCAAGGTATTAGACGCCATTTTAGCGAGCGTCGAGTTGACAATAGTCGCTTCAATGGCCAATATCTCGAAAACTGCCGGGGGATCACCGGGATCTTTCCAGCAGATTTAAAGCTTATATATTTTTCTTCATGGCTACCAAAAATGAGGAAAATCGAACCATGAGAATTCTAGATATTTCATTTTAAACATTGTAAACATATTTAGACTTGAGTCAACACGTCGCGGGGAGTCGTCTAACTTCAAGCATCAAAATAACGTTGAAAACAACGTTTACCTTAGAGATTTTTGCAGATATCACCAGATCTTTAGCAGTAGTACTATTACACTTGAAATTTTGCAAGAAAATTTTAATATTAATGTTTTTTTTCGATTTATTTTCCGTCGAATACAAATTTGTCTGCCCAAATTCTGCAGAAAACACGATGGAAAATATAGCGATCTCATTGGTCGAGAGCTCACGTGACAACTCGCTAATTGCTTGTCCGACCTCCTCTGCGTAGCCCGATGCACGTGCAAATCATGCTGCAGATGTAATTCGACCTTTAGAATCGATTTCCGACGTTTCCCGAGCGCTAGGATGTAAACACGCGATGTTTTGGCGAATTCAAATCGCATTTCCGGTCAAAAAATATCCCGCTGAGTTCGCTAATATCGCAACAGATTGAAATATCGAAATAAAAGGCGAAGAACTGAGGCTACAAGCCTCCAAATAACACTGTAAATAGTGTTTTTGATTGTGAATCGAACAAGACTACAACAAAAAATATATGTTTGAAGGCGCCAAAGTTGTGTCTGGCAAAAGGTATGCCTTTAGTGATAAATTGTTTACATTTTTCGAACAAATATGTGATTTGTTGAAATATGATACGTCTTGACCCTTCAAAGGTCATAAATCGCTACAATGTTTGTCTTTGACTAAAACTACCATTACGAATCAGGAAATATTATTTCGCTGAATTGAATGGTGGTATTTTCATCTACGTAGCATGTACTGAACCGAAGATATGAACCTCCAAAATACTATTGCAGTTCTGCAAAATCGCATTTCCGGTCAAAAAATATCCCGCTGATTTCACTAACATCGCAACAGAATGAAATATCGAAATAAAAGACCAAAATCCGAGGCTACAAGCCTCAAAATAACACTGTAAATAGTGTTTTTGATTGTGAATCGAACAAGACTACAATGAAAAACACACGTTCGAAGGGGCCAAAGTTGTGTCCAGCAAAAGGCATGGTTTTAGTGCTACATTGTTTACATTTTTAGAACAAATATGTAATTTGTTGAAATATGATACCTCTCGACCCTTCAAAGGTCATAAATCGCTATAATATTTGTGTTTGACTAAAACTATCACTAGAAATCAGGAGATATTATTTCGCTGAATCAAATGGTGGTATTTTCATCTACGTAGCATGTACTGAACCGAAGATATGAACCTCCAAAATACTATTGCAGATCTGCAATAGTTTTCACAGGGTTGGTCGAAAAGGAGTAATCCCTATAAATGGTTTAGCACCAGAAAATCTGATTGGTGAATTTGTACATGCAAGTGCAATTCACGCATATCGCACAAGACACCGTGACTTATTGCGCATTCCTTTAGCTAAGACCACCAAATATCAAGGGAGTTTTCGTATAAATTAGGCAGTATTAGGCGTTATAATTTAGGCAGTAAATAACTTTACAGCCTAAAGAGATAAGGATGTCAAATAATATCAAAGAATTTAAGATTAAGGCCAAGCGCCATTATCGATCATGAAGTCTATATGTCAACTTTAATTTATATGTCACAATGTACTATGTCTATGTATGTGTCCCATATTGTATATTTTGTTAACATTCTACTTATGTATATTGTAATTAATACAGTGTGTATCAAAATAATTCGAATCCAAATTTGACAGACTGCTGTTTATAAAATACTAAAGTAAACCATATAATTTTTATATGGCAATAAAGAATAGCCTATTAGGTTTCCGATTATATCGTTGTTATATCAATAAGATCAAAAATGACCAAGAAATCGTGTGTTAAAACTGGTTGCTCGAAATCAAATTTTTCCGCCGATGGGAATTCGAAGTGAGACGTACAAACAAAAGATAATGCAAATTTAATTAATCAACAAACTGTTATTAGCAAAATTTACATAAATTCGTGTTCATTTAAAGAGATTTAAGCTCCTATGCCTTCAACATGTTGAACGAGAAGAAATTCGCGTTAAATTTGCATTTTAGTTTT